AAGAGACTGACTTTCAGGCATAAGGCTTTTTCACCCTTCCCTCTGCTATTTACCCAATGAAAAAAAAAAGCATGCAAGTAAATAGACCCAAGCCTCATGGCTTAAGACAAAGAAATATATAGCAAAACAAAACAGGAAACTAGCTTATGTATAAAAGAAAAGTCATGGCATTGTGTTGTTCAGTAGCAAGGAAGGTGAACAATGGTTTGGGTTTTTTTTTTTTTTTCATTAAAATGAAAGCCCCTGAAAACCACAGCTCAATGGTTTGGTTTTTTTTTTTTTTTTTCATTAAAATGAAAGTCCCTGAAAACCACAGCCTTCCTAACTGCAATACACACACACAGAGTACTTGTCACCACTGTACCCCTTCTCCCTCTCCTCAACGTGTCCTGCACGCTAAAATATTTGTATCTGCTTGGACGCTTGATCTTTGCTGGCCACTTTTGTAATTACATCAATATTATTTCTCTAAGCTTAGAAAGGAACCTTGGAAAGGAACAGCTATAACCTGTCCGTCCACAGGAGCACTCCAGTTTTCATCTAGAGATGAGCAAAAAGGGGGTTTTGTTATTCAGCCTGGTCAAGCAGTTGTTTTTCTCTTAAGGAACATCTGAAATGTTGCCCACCAAAGGGAGGAGAAGTAGAACCGCACAAGGGTGCGTTTCCATGGAAGCATTAAGTCTGACACTCAGGTAATTGCTGATACAGCTTTTCAAGTGATGCATTTCCCAGCACACCCAAACATTGCCAGCAGGGCTGGGTGCTGGTGCAGCAGAGATCGGCTTGCAGCAGTCGATCTGTTCCAGCTAACAAAGAGACCCTTCGCCCCACATGAAGAAAAAACCATGCATCCTACCAGAATAATGAAAACCATCTAATGTACAACACGACTTTAAAAGGTGTAAGGACAGTTGGCACTTTGCGATTTCCAGTTCCCCTAAATGCTCTTTTCTCCTGTTGTTTAAACAGATCTCCATGTTTCCTTAGCATTTATTTCACTCAGGTCAGGTCAAAATGACTGTCCTGCAGCTGCACTGAATTGAATGTTTGTTTCTTGTTCCACAAGGGAAGAGGGAAGAGATGGGGAAATTTTTGGAGAAACTGGCAGTGAAAAACCTGTACTGAATTAATATCACCAAAATATTTCATTTGCACATGACTGAAGCTGACTTTTTTGGGTAATGTTTTGAAATATTTGTCAACAAAACTCACCTCGCCTGTTTTACAAATGACATTTCAATACACAGTTGGATAAAAATGATTCCCTTGATGCAAAAATAAATTTAAACTTTTATTTCTAAAAGACGGCAAAGTGTTGAGCCAACTGGTGAAATTTGAGATTCAAAACATTAGGGATAACCAGGTCTAATTAGCACACCTAGATTTCTTAAGCATTAAAAGAAGAAAATACGACCACATAAAACCAAAGATCTCTTTACGAAGGCAAATTATTCCTGCCAAAAAATCACAAGGTGAACCAATCACTCAAAAATAAAGCCACTTAAAGCTGTTGAGGGGGCAGCCCTCCTTTGGTTTTGCAACCAACAGCACTAGTTACAATGCTGGGGCAGGTTACTGAGAAGATGAAGCGCAATGTTCATTTACAACACTCTGGACTCCTATCAACATCCCTTGTCTCACTTTAATCTGTTTGCCATGCATACTCTCTTGCTGGCTAAGCATTGCCCGTCAGCTGCCCATGCTGATTTTCTCCAGGCAGGGGCTGTTCCACAGCTGCTGGACCTTTCAACTGCAGCTGGACCACTCTCCAGACACTTAGTTGTTCTCTTTAGAGTCATCTCCCAGAAGAGCACTGGCAAACCGCTCCCACCCTATGGATTGATTCAAAACCAGCAGATAAATTTTGCTTCCTTTTTTTCCACCCAACACACGGGCCCACCTCCCTGTGGAGCAAACAGGCCTTACAGAAGGTTAGTGGCACTTTCCATTATGGGCAGCGTAGCCAAATGGACGAGTAAAAGCTTTCAGCAGGCAATGGGAACGGTGTGATTCTTCAAAAAGGAAAATAAGCCTGCTCATTGCTTGGACTGCAATTCAAAATTGCATTGTCTTCCATGCCAGAAATACTTCACCCGTTTGAACTCCCTTTCACTATGTAACTCATATCAGCTGCTAAAATGGGTACATATGAAACTACTGTAACTCCTATAACGATCTGATATATAGGATACACTAATTTGACTGGTACATATGAATAAAATTACAGTGGGGTTTCCAACTGGAAGGAACTGCAAGTGAGCAGTTTATCATTTAAATGTGTTGAGAGTAATTCAATCACAGGAGGCTGTTACGACAATGCAGCAAGGAATAATAACCAGCAACACAATGGCCCCTAACTAGAGCAAAAAACCAGTTTCCAGCCCTTTCAGATGGAAAACAAAGAATAAAACAAATTACAAACAAAACCCCCTCCACACAGACAGGAAAGCTCAACAATGGAGTCAAGGGAAAACAGGGGATATCTGCGTCAGGCTCAATGGCATCCTTTCTCCCAGGCAAGTACCAGTATTTTACCCATTCCCTGCTACAGCAACTACAGGTATGTGATTATAACACACAAAAGCAGAGAAATGCTTTCTTCTGCTTACGGACCCACTGGGAGACACATGGCCTGTGGTTTGATCACATTCTTCATTCGGGATTTCTACTTTTCTCCTGTCCTCACTCAGACTGTTAAAACTCCCATGCACCCAGAATAAGAGAGGTCCTTCCTTCCATGATTTTTAGTTAAGCTCATTCCATGCTTTTGACACTACTCTCCTCTTACTCTCCCTACAGAAATGCAGCATTCCTCCAGAGCTGGCTCAGGAAAGCCTTAATGTGTGAGGCTGCAGGGAGAGTTTAAAAAGAAAAAGCAAGGGAAGAAATAATAAAAAACCCCAGTAATATCCCCAACAAATCCAGCATCAGCAAGGAGGCAGAAATGACCACGTTCCGCGTCAAAGTTTGCAAAGGGTAATGTACTGACAACTGCTATATCTAAATGTATTTGCAGGCAGAGAATCCATAGCATCAAGATGTGTAATATGCTGTTTTCCACATGCAAAAGAGTCCCTCCTTAAACAGGAGTGTACCCCTGCTGTGAAACTGCTGGAAAAAGTAATCAGTCACAAATAACAGTCATAAAACCATTTTGATACTTAACATTCCTCCATGGACAATATCATTATACACGGCTTAAATAAATCCCTCTAGCACACAGTTTCATCTTTATCAAAAGGAAACTCAGGTAATTTATTTTTTCTTTCCCCTAAAATACATTTTATTTCATCTGCAAATTCACGAAGCTGACTAGCTGAGGAAAGTCGAATTTAAGACTTGGTTGGGAAACTCCAAGTCCAATTGTGAGACATTTCATTGCCTCAGAGGTAGGTTTTCTCCAAGATTCATCATTTACTCTGGGGAAGATCTGCAAAAAGGCAGGGGGTGGGGGAGGATGGAGATCACCAGGTTAATGGCTGCTCGCATACCCCCCAGCTTTTCAGAACTTTACCAGAATAATGGCATTTACATTGCAAAGCCATGTTGTGTACGATGCAGATCCAGGAACTGTAACCCCAGACACACAATTCACGTGTAAACAAGCTAATTTAACACCAGTCTACCAGCTGCACCAGAAATCACAGCAGTGACCTGGGTATCAATACCACAGACCCAAACTGGACATTTTCATCCCTCACTGATGAAGACTGCTTCATTCGTTAGGCACTGATGTTAACGGTGACATTTTTCTATTGTGAATGAAGTCTGTTCCAGTGCTGACTGATGCCTCTAGCACCGACTGACTGAAGCTACAGTTATCCCAGAGACCTTCAGCAGGGAGTATCGGCCAAGCACAGGAAGCGTCACCCCAAACCGTGGGCAGAGCTACTGGGTGAGGTCTGCCTGCAGCCCCTGGGTCAGAGTAGGTAGGGTTTGAAAAAGGGGGGGGGGGCGAACAGTCCATTGTTTTCTGACTAGCGGGTAGTCTGATACAGATTGCAAGTCAATGTGCAAAATGAGTGTTTATGGGCACCGTCAAGCCTGTGAGAAGGAAGAGGGGAGCCCGAACCAAATCTGACAGGTGGACCAGTGAGATGAAGATCCAGAAACTCTTCACCTTTGTCGTAATTAGAGCCACACACACACAATCTCTTCTGCAAAGCACCCTGTGAGACAGGAGCACAGCTATTTCAGTGACAATCCCGGTGATAAGACTTGTCAGCTCTTCATAAAAGCTTCAGTAAACCAAGGAACCGATAATTTAGACTCTCACCCGACTGCTGCTGCTTGCAGCCCCTCCTCCCCCAGAGCAGCATCTTTCAGATGATGCAGGAGAGGAAAGCAAACCGGCTCTTGAAGCAAGGCTTTAAAGAGAAACTGTAACGTGCTTTAGGTCTGCCACAGGGCTGGTGCTTTAGCATTTGGGGTTCGAGTGCTGCCACTTCTCCAAACAAACAAACAAAGTGTTGTGTGATGGGCAGGATCCCAGCCAGCAGCTTCCTTAAAACAGTTTTCAGAGGCACACAGGGCTGAAGGTGCACTCTGTAGCCATGGTAAAATTCTTTAAGAGATGTCTCTAAAGACATACGGCACTGCAAGATGAGACTATAAATACCAGGACTGTTCAACAGGCCGAGTAATTTTAAGCACAGTGCTGGAGTTTGGAATGGTTTTTCAAGAAAAGCAAAATGAATGAATGAATGGGATTATTTTACAGGCAGTAAATAGATTATCTAATTCTGGGCAGCAATACCACGTGCAGCCTTTAGAGAAGAGCTGAGGGATTTGCAGTTGTCTGTCTGTCCTACTCACCGGGCACCACTCCTTTGATGTCGCTTTCCGTGTTCATCCTGTTCTTGTGCGTGAACTGAAGGATCAGTTCCTTGGATGCCTCAAACTGTTGTGTAGCCATCAGCCACCGAAGAGACTCTGGGAAAATACTTTAAAGATGGAAAACAGGTTAGCATTGCTTCCAAGTTTCTGTCAGAGGAAGAACTGATAGTGTTTAGCTGCTCATTTAACCGTTCGTGAGCTACATAATTATTTTAAAAAAGCAGAAGAATTACTTCTGAAACAAATAAGAGGGAAAACAGATTCAGAATGTGCGAATTAATGACATTTTCTTTACACTGATTCATAAATGATACAGGAACTATCCTATCACCTAGAAATAGGACATATTAGAATTTTATAACATATTAGAGGCATTCTGCCTGTTAATACAATTTTGAAAGAACTTGGAGAAGGAAGAAGCGCTGTCTGCAATAGACATTTGCTGCCAAGCAGGGAATGAATGAGATGTGCAGTTAACACATGGTAATTCAGACCAAAGAAGGAACATAGCTGACAGAAGTGATTTGGATTGTAAAGACGGAGAGAGGAAAGAGAAGAATTACTTTTTAGCATTATAATGGAACAGATTTTTTTAAATTTTTAAACATGTCAAAAATCATCTTCTACACATGCAGACTTTAAGCCATTCTTTTATACAGGTCAGTATTGTGTATGCTCCAGACAACATTCAGTTTTTGCTCTAAAAGTTTCCCCTAGTAAAGACAATATTATGTTAGTTGAGTTGCCTTAAAAATATACATATGCACACAGAATTACAAAATAAAAAAGTTTTATTTTCCATCTGGTTGTTTCCTTCAAGTGCTGATATTCACCTGAGTCATTAGCTTAACTGATCATTCTTCCTTTTTTTTCAGATTAGTTTATTTTCATGCAAAACTAAAAGAAATATGTAGAACTTAAACCAAACAAAAAACTCCTATACTTCTATAGAGATGAAAACTTTCAGATCTGACTCCAAGCATATTTTTTTCTCTTGTTTAGGCCTCATTTTCACTAATCTTCCAAAAGACCTTTCTAAGAACAAATTTAGCAACTACTTTTAACTTCAAATATATAATAAACCTCAAATTTCCTTCACAAAGAACTAATCTTTGCCGTGGATGCTGCCTCAGTTCTTACACTTCTAAGCAGTGGACCAGGCAATTGCACCATTACGGTACTATCTTTTAAGGCTGATGCAATTTGGAAGACAGGTTAGCAAAGCCTCCATCCTAGATAAAGAAAGGTGTGGGTTTTTTTTTTAAAGAAGAAAAAAAAGAGAGAAGTCAGGCAGTCTGCAATCCAAATGATATCAGGCAATAAAAATACATAACAGCCGTGATGACAGCTATTCAGCTTGACAGCTTATTTACTACCACTAGTGCTGCGCAGATGCTTTGGCATACCCTCCTGCAGAAAGTCCTGGACCGCAAATGCATGTTTTGAAAAATTAAGAATTCTCTGAACGCAAAATCTTCCCATGCTTGGCTCCGGAGAGGGAGCCTCAGCTACTAGCCTAAAAGCTGCACTTTTTGAACAGTCTGCTCACAAGGTTACAGGTCCCAGATGACAAGCCTTATGGGGAGCACCCACTCCTAGGGAAGGAAGAGAGCTGCAGGGATGGGCATTGCAGGGACAAATGCTGTCGCTGCCTCCCAGCTCCTACAGGTTTCTCAAACTGGAAGTGCTGAAGCCTCATGCCTTTCAGCTGCTCCATTACTCACTGCGAGCAGTGGGAGGTTCATTTAAGGATCTTTAAAAACTCCTGGGCTGCTTTGAACCCAGGTTATCAAGGCACAGCAAGGGGAAGTGCTGGCCAACTCCTCTCTGTGCAAGTGCCCAAGCTCGCTTGTGGAGCATGGACCCTGCTGCCAAGGGTCCTTTGCATGCACCTACTGTTGCCGCACCAAGCACCACCACAAACTCAAAAGCCAAAAATTAAAAGCCAGCCCCCTGGCCCCGTGGACTTCTGCACAGAAATTGGGTCACAACCTCGTTCTTCATCACCTGGCATTAAATACTATATATATATATATTTATAAGTGAAGCTGAGATATCTTTCTGCCGGGCAGTCTCCCAGAACACCAGGCTGAGCTGACTGTGGGCACGATTGGTAGTCTTCTACTTCCTCCATCAGCGAGGAAAGGACCAGCCTTTTGCAGTTGAATTAAAGAATGCAGGGTGGGTGGGTAAGCGCAAACATTCATCTCCTGTTACACAGCTGCCACTTGGGAGAGGAGAGGGGCAAGAGTGGGAGGGACACTGGGGAAAAAGATCCTCAGCCTGAGAAATCCTAAGACCAGAGAAAAATCCTTGACAGACAGAAAAAGGCCAGGCAGGAACTGCGCATAGCTGGAAGGAAAACCATGATCCTGTCCAGATGCAGAGCAAACCCATGCCCATGCAAAGGGTGTGGTGTATCCATTAGGGGTCTGACCCACGCTAACAAGCCCAGTTATTACAACTTTGTGTCTTTGTGAGTGTAAATCCTATCTAACAGCACCAGAAAAGAACTGGCCATCCCCTCCCAGTTTTGGTTAGAGTAAAGCAGTTGTTTATTTCAGGTTATTGATATCTTTGCTGACCTTCATGGCATGGTCCTGTCAGGAGCTTCTTGCATCCATGGGAGAGGAAATAATGCCTCTGTATAAGTGGAGATCCCCTTCCCTCATGGCTCTAACACATACACACACTTTGAAAGGAGCCTAACTTCTATTAACTTATTTTTTTATGCTAGTCACCAACCCCTGTGCTCACATCCGGCTTATGTGGGCACCTCTTTGTCCTTCCAGAACAACCTGAGAGCTCAGCAAAGGCATCTGCTCGATTTGCAGGTGCCCCAGCCTACCAGCCCATCCCTCCTAGACAAATCTGCTGCTTCCCCCTTTCCCCCAGTCCATGCTCAGCTTCTCACTCTGCTCAGCCACACACCTCCTGGGGACAGCACAGCCTGCCACGTGCAAGCAGGGAGCAGAGCAAATCTATAGGTGGGAGAGGGCTCAGCCCCAGCACGGAGGGGCAAACAGGTCTCTTACAGCAGGAGATGGAAGTAAATAGAGCAAGGAGGAAGAAGGAGGCAGCGCAGAGGCTATCGCAGCATCTGTTATTGAATTCACTGCTTTGGGTACACGATGGGGAATTAAGAAGCAGTTTTCTAGTTCTTTTATTACAAATCAGTTCGATTTCTTCCTTCATCTGTAACATATGTTGAGGGTCCACGCCTTGTTCCCCAACACAATGCCAGGGAGGAAAGGAAAGAAGTAATAAAATGGTAGCACTTTCCAGAGAATATGCAACAGATGGAAGAGAAAAGCCTAAGAGAAAAGTGCATACTGTACCGTCAGTATAATTAAACAGGCATAGTAACTAGAGTCCATTTCTGCAAATGCAAAAACCCCAGGCAACGCAAATCCTGTTACTTTGGCTGTTACCACTATTTATCAAGCTGTCATATCATGCATTACATAAGGGAGATCTATTTGCTTGGTCTGCCTGTCCTGTCTAGCCAAAAAGCCACAAAGCTCTTGGAGATTAGGAAATGTTAGCATTTCCTATTGCTTTCAATGTCACCTA